GGTGGGGGGGGGGTGAATTTAAGACAACTATGCAATAATTAGCTTTTGTATGGGGAAAAAATTATAAACTAGTTATAAATTTTGCATGAATAGAATCTAATAATTGGGGGGCAGGGTCATCTTTAAATTCAAAGTCATCTTGGATTCAGGTAAATGCAATACATTTTTATACAAAGGTTTAGGTTTACCTTGAGTTTTATGTATGTAGATATGTAGTTTTAGCCAGACTAGCTTATCCCTGACTGTCCGTACATGTGCCCAAATGGGGAGTTACTACTGAATTCAACAGTGAGCAGTGCACATGTTTGGGAAGCATTTGGACCTTTGTGGACCATTGTGTCTTTATGCCCTCAGTGGCATAAATAAAATGCTACTAATTCCCCTACAAGATGCATGTAGAAGGTGTAGGCAATGTAATTCTACATGTTTTCCTTTCCAGTCTGAAAGGTTGCTAATCTAGTCTGAATACAGGTTGTAGCAGAACCTCTTCAATTCCCATTGACATGGAAGAGACCCACAGTATATTAGAAAAACATGAAGAATTGGCAAGCATGCTTCTTCCATTGCATTTGGCTATTCAGCAGTTCTTGATCTTTCTTCTTCCTGTCCCTGTGCATACTGCAACACTAGACACAGCTTCTCGTCTTTGCTTCTTGCTCATGCTGCTGCCAGTCTTCTAACAATACGCTCCTTCTCTCTCAGCTGGAACAAGCCATTTAAACATCTGAAATATGGGCAGAAAAGAGAGCTTCTCTGAGTACACATGATGAAGGTCCTGCTTTGTGCGTAATGTCTTAAATATACTCTGTCTGATAATTTACGGGGCTGTACAAAATATTGCACTACTACACTTTTAAATCAAACTTTTAGTAAATGACCCATGAAACTTTCTGCCATGTTTTACCTTGTTTTGTTTTGTTGTGTGTTGGATGTTTTGACAGAACAAGACCTTCTTTACTGGAGTATTTAAGCTATCTCCTCAATTTTATGAGTATCATAGCTGGGCCTTGCAGCAATTACAAGGATTATATAGCCTTCATTGAAGGGAGGCATGTACATATGAAACTTTTAGAAGTGAACTGGAAGCAAAAGGGTTACGATAGACTTCCTGATCCTTCTCCAACTGTAAGTTGTAAAATGCCAAATATTTATTGTAAAGAGCTGGAGAACACTGCTTTGCATGTGACTGATTAATAGCAGCACCTACTTAAAAACATTAAGTTGATTTCTTCTTAGGTATCTTGCTAATTAACATCACAGTGTTCTCTATGTAAAACAATTCCTGTTTTCATTACCAAGCTTATGGAGAGGGTGTTGACGTCCTCCCTTTGTGTTTCAGGAACACATGTTTGGCCTGCAGAGCAGCTTATTGGATAGTGGTCATCATATGTGCTGCTTTCTGTGCTCACAATGGGAACCTTCTGTAGGTTCAGATAATTGGGAATTGTATTCAGACCAAGACAAAAGAGAGAGCACAATTCACAAAATGGAATAACTGGAAAAAAAATCCTATCATTGTTATGTGAGAGACACACTAGATACAGGAATCATGATTTATTAAGCACTGTAGCTTGATTTAATTCTTTTCAAGAAAACCTGGGGTCATCTCCCTTATTGTAAGCATGGAAAAGATACAATCCACCACAAAACCATTTTTAAAAATTATTATTGTCTTGTTTTATTAAATATTAACTTAACACTTGAACAAATGTCCTTCATATATTCCAGAAAAAATATATGGGCCACCTTCTACCATGTCATACTTAAATGACTCTGGATTTATGCCTTTAATTGAGAGCAGAATTTACTTGCACAGGCTCTATATAATGTGAAGAGAGTGTGTACTGTGTATGGAGTCTGATTCTGATCCTGCAGTGACATAGTTCCACTGAATATAGTGGAGTTACTTCTGATTTACATCTATGTAAACAATGTTAGAATTGGACTCAAGTTGTGATGTGTATTGTATATACATATATTTACAGTATATAAAAGTAGGTGTTTTTCTACTAAAAAAAATGCACTAAAGTTTTTTGCTGTGAACAGTGTGCATATTAAACGAGTGCATATTTTAACATAAACTAATTATCCCAGTGTTAATTAATGTTAGATTCCCCCATTTGCATTATGAAAGTATAGTTCATTTATTCATGTTGAGTCTGTGAAAGCCATTTACCAAGTAACATAGTTTATACTGACAGGTGCTCTGGAAAGCTATGAAAAGAGGTGTGCATACTAGGTCAGCGCTGCCTAACCTTTTGGCTCCACGGGCTGGATGTGGGCCTGATCTGTCATGCGGGGCTGGCCCACTGCATGGTCCCAGCCCTATGCATTGTACTGGGTCCTGGCCCTGCATGCCAGATTGTGCCCATGGTCCTGGCCCCTTGCACTGGGCTGTGTCATCTTGCCTGCCTGGCTTAGAAATTAGGCAGTGGGGGAGCGGTAGCATTGTTAATTTCTAGTGTTCCCCCACCACTAAATTTCCAGACTCTGCGGAGACCCTGAGCAGGATGACATAGCTTCATGGACTGGTTAAGAGTAAGTAATTGTAAATAGGTTCTCAGGAAAGCTGATGGTGGGTGCAGTGCCAGAGAGTGATTTTGTCATATTGGACATTAGTAGGTTTGGGGCTTTTAGCCAGAATCCAAGATTTGTCCTTTGGGTAACTGCATAGAGAGGGAAGCTGTCTGCTTCCCATCTTTTTCTCTTTCTTCCTCAAGACAATTCCAGCAGCTGCAGTAGGATTCTGATGAAAGAATTTGCCTGAGATGGGTTAAAAAAATTCCTTACTCTCTTCTTGTAAATGACTTGGATCCATTAAAGCTAACTTTTGCATGGCTTTTGCCCATTCCTTATACCAGCTGGAAATTTAATGGTGATGAAATTGGTTGCTGCCTCTGATCAGGATGGGTTTTGATTCAGATTCCTTTTATAAAGAGCAAGCATTGTTTTGCATTTAGCCTATTCTAATAAATGATCACACCAATGTTTTGTTATTTATTATGCTTTTTCAGGGAACTGTGGCATACAAACTCTGTATCACCCTTGTATCTCTCCTTTTGTTCTTGACACTTACCAAGAGCTTCCCTGTTACATACATCATTGATAACCAGTTTATCAATAAAACATCCTTCATGTCAAGACTCGGTTACCTGTATGTTGTTACACAAGCATCGAAGCCAAAGTATTACTTTGCATGGACCTTGGGTAAGGATGACTATATGATTTATTATGTGTCCAAATAAGTCAATTCATAAATATTGGTGTTATGAAATAGGATATTTTCAATTTAGGTCCCAATCCTAAAATGTACAGTGGGTAAGGGCTCACAAGCCTGCGCCCACAGTCCCACAGAAGTTATTGAACTCCTTTGGGGGTGCTGTAGCCCTTCTGTTTTGTACCAGTTACAGACTGGAAAAGATTTGAGATGCTGTGAGGCTGTTGACTGTCAGTCTCAACAAGGACACTGTCATACAGGTTAGGACAGAAGTCTGAGTTGCTGTTAAAGCTGTTGCAGTTTGTTTTCACATGTTCCCATGTAGCTTCACTGAAGTCCAAGGAGGAAGATTTGCTCCTTACCCCCAGAAAATGATATACTTATATATTTTTTAAAATTGAAAAATAATTCCAAAATAAAGGGAGAGAAGAGAAAACATTTTAAAAAATGAAAAGAAAAAGCAGCAGGAGAACATATAAAGAAAAGGTAGGAGAGTGAAGAGAAAAGAAAGGAGAGTGAAGAGGTGAAAGGAGGGACCTTGGGAGGGGAAGGGAGAGTGACACCACAGTTTACAGCCATGAGGGGTTAATCGGAGGTTTCTAAAAAGTTTAGCCAAATCTTTTCAAGTGTCTGAAACTTCTCTGTTTAGGTCAGCCAGATTGATGAAACCACTTCCTCTTACTCTCTTGTTTATACCAACATTACTCTCAATGTTATACTTCAGAAGAAAAGATATAGCATCTATGTCTGGACTCTACACCATAGTTTTAATCTTGCTTCCCCTCCTCCCCCTTGACTTGAGATGGGGGTATAACTCAAAAGCAGTACAACTCTCAGGTACCAGAATGCCATGCCAGCATAAAGCTTTTCTGTATTAGAATAACTGCATCCATACTAAAAGTTGTAGCTCACCACCAAAGCTGATATAATTAGACTGTTACAGAATCTTTGTGTAAACCAGGTTTTGCTTAATCACCCTCTCTTGTGCCCCTCTTCCTCACAATCCTACACAATCACTTATATGGTGGAAGAGGATGCAGGCTGTCGGTAGAAACAGTGATGGCCAGGAATAGGCATGACTTGCAGCCTTGATGTCCCCACCACAAATGCATGCACTTGGCACAGAGCAGTCATGGGGCAGAAAATGTCTTCTCTGTTCTGGTCCGCAGTGGAATTAAAGAGACTCTCTCGAGTGCATAGGATGGGGAATAGCACTGCCAGCTGTTCAGCCATGGACTTTTTCTCCAGTCAATTTTTACAAAATTCTGTTCTTCTACTGACCTGGGCTAAGTGAATAAAGTTTAGTTGTTACATTCTCATCATCTGCTGCCAAACCAATGTGTAGCCAGAAGCCTTGGCTGATAGTAGATGTTGATAACAATTTTGCAGGACCACATTCATCATACTGCTTTTTTTTCTTCTTATTAAGAGAACATTCAACCATATGGAAAATAAAATAATAGTGAAGGAAACATTAGGAGCAAACAGTAGCAGCTAGAGAATATCAGAACATACATGCAAACCTTGAATGACCTACATCAAGTAGCTATTTTTACATTATTTAAAAACACAAGGTTTTGAAGAACTCAGTTTCTTGATTGTTTTGAGCAACACTGCAGCCTGATGAAATGAAGAGGTTTTAATACAGTTTAGTTACGGTGAGGAAGATTAGTCATTAGGGTTAGGCTTGGGATCGTGACACAGGAGACCTGCATTCTGTTTTGAGCTGTGCTTTAGGTTGTGCCTACACTGCTTTCTGAGGTGTAATGTAGGTATACCTGCGCTAGTTCTAAGTGAACTAGCTCAGGTACCAGAAACGGTGTAGCTGTGGTAGTTTGGAGCTTCACATGAGCTAATTTATCCTGTTGAGTCTATGCAGGGCTCCATGCTACCATGGCTAGACTGCTTATGATACCCATGCAAGCTTAGGTTTCTTTGCAGTGTGCAGTGGAGACATTCCTTATGTGTCATGTGTAAGTTGGGAGAAATTGCTTATGATTTTTCAGAAAGTTGAGGCCTAGTCTATTGGTATTTATGCAGACCAATGTTTACTATACATCAGATGCACAAATTGGGTATTTAAATCAATGTGTACATCTACAGAGATCCCTGAAGAAAATGTGTACAGTCTGAACTTGAACCTTCTGAAAATTATAACCGTGTGTGCCAAATTGCCCTGGGTTGGGTAGGGGAGGCTGGGGCCAGCACCTAGGTTGGCCCCAGTAGTCTTTCCTGGGGGCCTTCCCGGGGCTGCAGTGGTGGTGATCCAGGTGCACAGAGCCTGGCTGGCAGCCAGAGTGTGGCTTTGGCCAGCCAGGCTCCAGTTTTGGGCAGCATGCACTGCAGCCACGTTCATCATGTCGCTTTTTTGGCACTTTTATTTTGACACCAGGATCTCCTGGTATCAAAAAACCCTGCCATGCTGCTAATTAGGAGCATGGCAAACACATGCATGTGTGGCGCATGCAGTTTGTGGAACCATAGATGGGTTTGTGGCATGCAAAGTGCACGTGTGCACTCATGGGGACGCACCCTGAGAGTCCCATGTGTGTGATATTTTATGGGTATAAACCAATGTCATTTTAGGAATAGGATCATCTGTGCTGGGTTGTGTCCCAGCACAGATGGTTTGCTTCATTGGTAGGAATCTACTTAATTTGTGGTTTTGTGATTTTCATGGAAAGTGAAAAAAGGCCATTTCTGCGATCACCGTGAAAGCTGGTATTCCCTGTGATTTTGAATGGCATTACCAGAAAAAAAAAAACTTATTAGAAATAAAATGCTGGCTCCCTAGTGGGAGTAGCTGGCATGAAGGGGAACAGTTAAAATGGCAGCTATCCCATCTCCCTTTGCCACTGATTGGCCAATCGGGCTACCTTTTATGTGGCTCTCCCCTTCTCTGCAAATCAACAGGTATGGGTCGGGCCACATGAAGGGCAGCCATCCCAGCCAATCACTGGTGAGGGTTGGGAGCTGGAGCCCCTTGGCCAATCAGCCAGTGGGTGGGAGGGGGCTTACTGCAAAAAGACTGTGAAAATGATGCCAGGCGCTGTGAGCGGCCTGTAATTTTTCCTTTGCCTCTGTTCGTTTTAAGTAGATCCCTATTTATTGATGCTTAAAGACATTGTCTGGATCTGTTGGCCTGCAGGGTCCTGCCCCTGCCACTGCTGGGGCTTCAGGGGCTCAATTCTGTGGGACAGCAGCCTGGGTGCCATTTTCTAATCTGGGGCATGCATCTGAAAGTGGGGGTGTGCATGGATCATGCACACTGTGGGATTCCTGCAGCACGCAATTAGCAAATGGATGTCCTCCCTTAAAGCATCACAAACTGACAATCTTGGATTGCAGCAACATTTTTGGGCATTTGGGGCAGGACAAGGGGCTTAGGATGTCTGTTTGCCCAGAACTTGTGCTGCCATAAAAATTTTGGACATTGATTGCACCCTAAGTATAAAATATTTTTATTATTTCACTGCTACTTTTAAAAAAATTATTCTGCTTAAGTACTGGAAATATGTTGGCTACAAAGGACCAACTCACAGGATCGTAATAAATTCTAATTTATTTTACGGGATGTGAAGTTACCGATAAAATCATAAATGCAAACTTTGAGTTATGAGGGATATTGGCCACCTTAACACGTTCACACATGCAATTGCTGCAATAGTGGTGTAGCGCTGATGTTGGTTTATACCTATCCGGGGCATTGGAGTCTGCTGTCTATGGTCAGCTTCCTCCAAAGCAATGTCTTCTCCAGAAAGGGGTTGCCTGCTTGTCCTTCTGTCTCGGTAGGTCAGGTGCTAGATGAGAGGGCACCACTGAGGGTCATGCTTGGCTGCCTTTTATCTGTTTCTGGCAGATTTTGTGCTCCGCCAGCATCATCTTGGCTGCCCAATCCAGAGGTTTCTGTCTCATGTGGGTCTTGAGTAGTGCATGCAAGCTGTCAGTCAGTCACTGGGGGTTCCACCCAATGGTGCAGTTTTGGGAGTCCACCCTTGACTTGATTGACTCATTGGCTGTGTCATTGCAGGTTCCAGGTGGTTTGATTAGCTTAAAATGGCTTGTAGAGTTGTAAAAGTGTAAAGGTAAGTTACTCTGGCTAGGCTATTGTCAGTTAACAGCCAGAGGCTCTTGCTTTGTCATTCAGTTACCTACTGACTCATACATGCTCGCATTCACTCAGGGGACCAGCCCAATACAGCAATACAGTTCCAGTGATTCCAATTCCAATACATTCTTATAATAACAGTTTTAGTAATACAAGGTATGACTTGCTCTAAAGAATACATTTGTTAAAAGTTGAAGGTATAAAACATAAAATACAGAATGCCAAGGCAAAGATGAGACAGATGAAATATAAAAATGCACTGTGAGAAATATATAAAACTGCAGTGTGAAGTAGTGAGGATCAAAGGCCACTGGGGACAGTAAGTGAGTTTGGTTACATGCAGTCACATAGACTGATTTTAGTATAAAACTTTAGACAGATATGGGAAGTTTGCTTTGGGAAATAGGTCTTAATCAAAGGGGGAATGTGTTCACCAGGATATATTTACAGTCATGCTTTCCATGCACCTTGGCTTTTCTTGTCTCTTACAGGCTTTGCTTTGAAGTGGATATTTTAGTTCTTTTGTTGTCTTTAGTGACACTTAGCTCAATTGATATGTAGATGTAGTTTGTAGATTTCTCCTACAGAAAGCCACTTCAGCTTTCTGGCTTGCTCCAAGCCTTGCCACACCCATGCAATGAGTGTGCTAGGTCTCTGCCAATACTTAGAAGGAAAAAGAAATGTGCAAAAGGAGAGAGTGAGGGCAGGCAAGAAGGGGCTTCTGTTATATCAGTGCCCAGAAGGGGATAGTACAAAGGGAGCTCCCTGTTACAAATAGACATTTCTTTTTTTAATAAAAGTCCGTAGATGATAATAGCTTTATTGAAATGCAAGCACAACAGGGGAATGTTTGAAGCCAAACCAGAAACTGTCAGTGACATT